AAAAAAAAAAGAAGAAGAAGAAGAAGAAGAAGAAGAAGAAGAAGAAGAAGAAGAAGAAGAAGAAAGAAACTTGAGTTTAGTCCGAAGTCCGAAAGAAAAAGAAAAACACTAGCCGTCTGTCAAATTTATGAATACCAACTTTCTATCCTTCATCTGAATAACACCTTAAATGCCATTTCTATTTCACAGATTCAAACTTTATCGGGCATTCATTGGAGTACTCGAAATTATGGAAGATTTACTATTGTGCCTGCTAATTAGGAGGCATGAAGACTAGTCAGACTGTTTCGAAGACTGGCAAGTTTATTTTAGAAGAACTGCAATGTATAATAACTTTGAGAGAAGCTGAGAAAACGGAACATCCTGCTTCAAACCTTACCCTTAGCACATGAATAATTTGGAAAGAACCAAACATATCCTTCAATTTCCTTGCCTCCTCGTACAAGCTTGAGATATTTTGGTTTTTAACCCTCCATAATCCCTGAATCTGTCCATTAAAAATTGCTTCTGATTAAGACTCCTAAAATTGACAAAACACAAGGCACACTTAAGAACCAATATTATACTCAAGTCATTAATTATATTAAAGACGACACTCAGAAACAATACTATTTTCATCATTCCACGAAATTTTTAGAATATCTTGGTTTCATTCATAAATTTTCCCATATTCAAGTAATGTATCAAAATTGCAAGAAAATGAAATATGGTTCCAAATGAATAATACCTGCATGCAAACGAGTTTGGAATCACCTCGAACTCGAACGCTCGAGAACCCTTCGCGAAGTGCATATTTCAACCCTAGTATAAACCCACGATATTCGGCAAAATTGTTTGTGGCAATGCCTAAGCCTTCCCGCAACCTACAAATCTAATGTACAAAAAAAAATTACCACTTTATATATGTCATAACTGGAAAATAATATATATATAAAAAAAAATGATCCGCAACCTCTGAAGAAAACATTACACTCACATAATTTCCGTCATCGGATCTTAGTATAGCACCTGCCCCAGCTTGTCCTGGGTTTCCTTTTGAAGCACCATCAAACTCGATGGTACATGATCGCTGTTCATAATTACAAGAATCACCTTAGCATTGAAAGTTGAATTTGTCATTTAATATATATATATATATATATATATATATATATCGAAAAACACCAAGATAAATATAAGGATGCTTTTCGGTTTCAGGGATTTCAGTAATATTTATTTATTTACTTTATTTTGTCTGGGCGCAACATCGATTATCCAACGATTTCATTACAAGTTCTAATCTTTTTCATCTTAGTTTGAAATAATAGAAAAGTATAAATCTAAAAGATGTCCAACCATGAACTACTTACACAAACTGGTTGATTCTGGTCAACTCCTCTATGAGGTTCTAATTTGAAATGCTTTGCTAAGGCATCATTTGAAGACAACGTAGGTTCAGCTGCCTCCTGCGATGTACAAAAGTCAAAAGTGTAGATAAACCAACAGTAACAAATTCAAATCAATTTATTCAAAACACAATTTTTTCTAAGGAAAATCATAGAAAACAGCAGGAAGTACAGCAAGTTGCGGCGGACTCTAATAACCCTCGAAATAATATCTACAGTCAACATTTACTTGTCTCACTTCACATTTTTCTTCAATGGGAATTTTTATGGGAGGTGCTATTTTTATTTGAAAATCTGCAGCCTGTCAATCCATGAGAGGCATTTGGGAAAAAATATATTGACAATATCTGATACAATTAATATTATTGTTTAATATATTTTCCAAGAAAAGCTGAAAAAGAAACATATTTCATTTTCCATCACCTCATGCCACTATAGATTTCATTGTTAAGAATCTTCAAAACGTCAAGTCCGCATACCAACCTTGAGAAGATATATATTAATACAAATTATTTAACAGTCATTTGATTCTAACTGCAGATATTCTCATTCTATCTCAATTGTATATGTAGAATTGTGGACATTACAAACTCCAGGATCTCTGCCTTAACACTTTACAAAATAAAATTAAAACAAAATGATAAATACAATATTTGAAAGTCTTTCGGTGTAGCTTTTATCTCACAACTAAACATGAATCACGGATTAGTTAATGATCTCACTCACCCCATAATCTGACCACAAAGCTACCTGGGGCCTTTTCTTGGTTACGGGCTCGGCAGATGTTTCCCCTCTAGAAGAAGGCTGCAGTATGAAAATTCAGATGCTAATCAATATTCTATTTGGATAATACAGAGTTTAAATGCATCACATTTTAATTTCAACTTTGTCAGCTGCAGGGCAACAGAGGTTTTGCCCATTATTGAACTTTACCGCCATATAATTTGACACTTTTTAGTCAAATCTCACTATATTCGTATCAATTGATTTAAAAATTGAATTTAGAAAAATAGAACAATTCATGTTGACCACAGATTATAGTTACATTTATTACACTTTCGACAAACTTTATACAAGGGGACTCGTCTAGACTGCAATAAAGGAGAAAAACAAGATTACAAGTTGCACAAAAAAAAAAAAAANAAAAAAAAAAAAAAGACACAAAGTTATTGCACACTTATATACATGGACCTGGAAATGGCAAGGCACAAGAGGGCCAAAAAAATGTTCAGTAAGTTCAGAAGCTCTGATGGAATAAAGTGCATTCTTGAGTCCACAAGACATGAGATACTTCTCAGTGTCCTTTGGCATTGCCTGACCTTTGTACACACTGACTGGGGGATCACATATCTGCAATGAATTAAAAAGAGCAAGTGTAATTTTATGAATACACAGCAAACTACTACTATATATCCCTAAAAAATAAGATCTGAATTATGACATGAATAGCCAACATATAGGTCTCCAACATAATAGCTTGTACGAGTCTCTAGGAAATAAACACATATTGCAAGACAGATATGTTATCTAAGTTACAATATGAATTACTGAGAAAAATCAATAAGAAAACTCATTATACTAAGTAGCACTGGCCTACTTAAAAAAACAACTTCAGAGAGATAAGGAGTAAAAAGAAAGACNAAAAAAAAAAAAAAGATGTAAATGTGCATGATAGTCAAGAAGCCAAACAAGATATCAGACTGAAAACTGTGATTATTCAGGAACAGCAATTATGTAATAAAACTTCATGAGGTTGTATGTAACCAGATGCTTTTCTAATTGATGCCCACTAACAATTCTAATTCTTTGAAACACACCAAACAATCCTCCAGAGAGATTCTCGTGTGGATTTATTTTATTTCTATTTTAAATATTTTTGAGAAAATATTCGGCAACATTCCATTGGTTGAAAATCAATGGTATCTGATTACCAAGTCGGGATTTATTCAACTTAGTTAATAGGTTCATTGTATTATCTTTTGAAGGACACATATTTGTTCAATTATTTTCAATAAAATATAGTAATTAGTGGAAATCAAGTGCTATTTCTAAAAATGTGGTCCAACCTTCTGAAAAATAGGTTGTTGTAGTATGAAAATGAGGTAATAGATAGAGCAAACGTTGAACCAGTGTTCTGAAAACCGGACCGGACCGGCCGGTTCGACTGGTTCAACCGCGAACCAGCCCATATAACGGTCCGGTTTGAGGTTTAGAACCGTAGGGACTCAAAACCGGGTGCAAACCGTTTGAACCTGTGAAAAACCGGCAAAACCAGTCAACCGGGGGCGGCTTATACGGACAGGCGGTCCATTTGATTCAGGCATTAAAGCTTGTTGTGAGCGCATAAATAGCACAATTAGTTTGGTACTGCTTCCGATGTGGGATTTCAAAAACAAAGGCTTATTAGAAATTGGGCTTTCATTATTGGGCCTTATTTGTTTGTTGCTGGAAATCAACGCCTTTATTTATTGCTTGGACCCTAGCCTTATTGCTGAAAACTAAAGCCTATTGATTACAACTTATAAGCCCACAATAATTAAAATATATTCCAACCTATTGGTTATAAGTTATAAGCCCACAATAACTAAAATATAAGTGTAGACTTAGTTACCATGTAGCTAAAATAATTAGAATATGCATGATTTTTTTTTTTATTTAAATAAATATCAATATACACTATAAAACTAATAATAACAATATGTATAATTATATATTGTACATATAAAATAAATAAAAATTATATATTAATTAAACCGGTTCGACCACTGGTCCGACCAATGAACCATTGAACCGGTAGCTTCACCGGTTCGATGACCGGTCCGGTTTTCAAAACATTGCGTTGAACAATGAAGAGCGCATCCTGAAAACATCTTCAGAAAATAAGAACACCCAAAAAACTACAAATTATTTACACAAGTAAACAAATGATGGTGTAATTTCCAACATCTACTTCAATTTTAAGAAAAACACATAGAAAAGTCAGTTACGAGAAACTCAAAGCTCACGAGGTTTTAAGAATCACCATTGTCCTACAAGATGAGGGCAAAAAAGGAGAATTCGGTAAATTCCCATCAAAATATAGAGAACACAAAATTACCGAGGTTCCAACTTGAGCTTGGCAATCGCTTAAGCTTTTGTAAACACCCACGAGGTCACCTTTGCGGACAACAAAAAACGCTTCCTTATCGTCCTTCATTACTGGTTTGGTATCAAGCTTCCGCTTGCGGGAACCAACTCCACTAGACCTTTTCGATGAATAGCACCGAAACAGAAACTTCGTCAGCAGTAATTCCAAATTAACTGTTCTATCACCGAGATGTTGAAAGCGTGTTCTAGACGAAGGCAATACATATTTGCAACATGAGCTTTTGTTAATGAAAAGGCCAGTCCTTGATAATATCGGTGAACAGCATGCACGAAACGAGCCAATCATTTCAGGCTCTCTCCCTACTATATATCCCAGATTTCCTGGAGATAAATGTACTATTGTCAATAAATAAAACACATAAACGAATGGAATAGAAAAGGAAAGGCATTCCATGTACTTCAGTTGGTCCAGTGACCAAATTTCTAGTTTTATCTCGAAAATAAATAGAACTGATTCAGTATAGTTCTAACTATGTAAGATTTAGGAGAACTAACAAGAATCATGGGTTTCAATCACCAAGATCACTACCTGAAGTTTCCTTATTACTGTTCAATAAATTGTTGAATCATGACAGGGGAACTTAAGAAATGACATTCTTGATCAGTCTTTACTATGATATGATATTCACATTCTCCAATCCAATTAATAAATAATTTTCAAACTTTAGAACAAGATTAAAGCAGCCCCCATCAACTAAACGACACGAGATGAGAGAAAAAATTGAATCATTCAGAAAAACACTATAAACACAGATAGGAGAGATAGAAATCAAAACCCAAATTATATGACGTGAGTGATCAAATATAGTAACAAATGAAATGAACGCCATGAATGAAATCTTACCAGCAAATTACATTAGAGCTGCAAAATCCAGTGGGACTGCTGAGAGTTTTGTTCAGTGTGGGCGGGGGATGGGGGTGGGGGTTAGGTGAGGGTTGGCGAAGGGTAGTAGGTATTGGGTTTTTGGTGCAAAAGATTAGTAAAGCTTTGTGATTTTCACGAGTTTTAAGTGTTAAATAAAATTAGTTTTAATAATATAAATAATTAAAATAAATTTTTTTTTTTTTCGAAACGTTAGATTTTATTATAAACTACGCAAATTTACAAAAGTACAGCCACCAGCTGAATACAAATTTGCAAAATAAATTATTGTTGATAATGATCTTTTTATTTTACACAACATCATACATACATCTATTAATTGATTTTTTTTTAACTGTATAACAATATCCTTATAATTTTTTTGTCAGTTGTTTTTAAAATTATCAGTTTAACCGATTATAGTCTAAACTTTCAATCAACATTGCATTACATCTAAAACTAATACATTATTGTGATACATCATAATAAATATGATACACAATAAAATTGTAAAGTTCTATATATTGTTAGTTGAAAATCTTCATTTTAGTTTATATTTTAATTAATTTTAAGATGTTATTTCACTTTTTAAAAATTTTCAAAAAATGCATTAAGCTAAAGGCATATGTGATATTTGTTTTCTTTTAGTTTTTGAAAGGATTTAAAATAAAATAATAGAAGTAACATTCAATAAAAGTATTGATATGATATATTCAAACCATAAAAATCTTGCACTAATAAAGTGAAAAAATCAATTCAATTAATGGTGATCTAAGATATATAAATAAATTATGACAAAATATTTCATATAAATATATAAAGAAAAATGTTTTTATAGTTTTATATGCCATTATGATTGTTAAGTTAAAAAGATATTTTAAAATGTTTAGTTAGTTTTTGTATATCTACAAAATTTGATAATTTATATAAAATATGTTCTTATAGTGTTATATGCCCATTATGATTGTTAAGGTTAACAAATATTTAAAATGAGTAGTTAGTTTTTTTTATATCTAAAAATTGATAATATGGCCAACAAGTAATGAGTTTTATATATAATAAAAAATTTTATTTACAAAAAGACAAAGTTTTTAGTCCATTTATAGATTTTTTTTCCTTAATAATTCACGTATATAGATATGGATACAAATTTATAATCCTTTTTGTGTTCATCTCAGAGACATCATCAGATTATCGCACACAGTGACCGTAAATATTCGAACAACACATCATATACACAACATCACTACCAAAACACATCAGTTTAGTGACTCACCAGAATGAGTCTCACTTTGTAGTGAATCAAAGTAACAACTATTGTATGCACGTGCCTGTTTATATCTTACGGGTTAAGAGTATACAATAATTAACCAAAGTCTAGTTTGTTATTGTATGCACGTTCCTGGTTAAATCTTACGGGAACCTAAGAGACAAAATTAATGCGCAGGAGATTAGAGCAACCTGCTGGTTCGTAGGGAGCCGAGTTGGTTGCACAATTAGACCATCTAATAAGGTAAATTAATGTGAACACGCTACTTTAGAGATAAGAATGAATATTATTTTGATAAGAACCACACATGGATAAAACCACGTGACCTAATAGAATAGGGTAGTTTGGGCACTCGGGAAGTACGAACGGGTAGCTTGGGCAATCGGGCAACCCAGCTGGGCAGTCTTGGGCAACAACTAAACACCTATATAAAGGGGTGACGCATGATCAACCCGACTCTACACACTCTTATATACTTACAAATTATACAGTTATTGTTCATATTCTTCCTCATCCACATACTGATTAGGCCGTCGGAGTCCCTATGCCTGGACTATTCCCGATGCAGTTTTGCTGGTCCATAGAACCATTCGAGTGCGTATCCAAGGTCGCAGGAGTCGGTCAATGTCGTATACACATGAGTATTGTATTATTTATGTTAACTTGTTATTAGAAAAAAATATAATAAAAAGAAAAAAAAAAGGACGGAAAATTTTCTATAGCTTTATTTACAAAGAACCTTTTATTTAATAATATATTGATATATATGCATGGTAAAAATATTAATTTATGGAATTATTATATAAAGGTTTGGTACTAGTAATAATATATATAGAAAGAGAGAATAACCATTTACTAAAAATAGCAGTCGAAAAAATATGGGAATATTTAATGCATACATTCTTTAGGAGCTTTTAAAATCTCATTTACTATTCACCGCCCCCCTATTACTAGTCACCGCCCCCTCTTTTACTATTATGCCCTTAACCTTTCTTCTCTCTATCTCTCTAAACTCTCTATCTCTCTAAACTTCCGAACTTTCAACGAGCGATTCGAGCACCGAAAAAAATCCGAAAAAAATGTCGAAAAAATCCTACGGCCTTGGCAAAGCATTTTTCTCTAACAAGGTAATTTTTTTTTCATTGTAAAATATATATATATTTTTTTTAAATCTGTCCCGCGTCCGGCCGTCGCCTCCGGACGCGGCGGGGCCGTCCGACCGTTGCTTCCGGACGGCCAAAAAGGCGTCCGGCCCTGTTGGACATATGGCTTCTCAGTCGATCGCGATCGGCGGGTCCACGAGCCGGCCGGACNTAATAATAATAATTAAAAATTATAAATAATTATAATAATAATTATAAATTAGAATTAATTATAATAATTATAAATTATAATAATAATAATAATAATAATAATAATTATAAATTATAATAACAATAAGTTGAATAAATTATAATTAATTATAAATTATAATAATAAAATTTATAAATTAAAATAAAAATTAAATATAATCTATTTTAATAGTTATTACAATAATTATTACATATGAAAAAATTACTACTTATATTTTTTATTTAGGGTGTTAGCAGACCTGGACAATCTTCTGTCAGGGACGACGACGAGGCTATCGATGACTATTATGATGGTTCTGGCACCCGACACACTAGAAGTCGGGGTGTCAATGCGTCCGTTCGTCGGGACAGACAGACAATGATCGATCAGGCTCAGAGGATACAGAATGGTCTGGCTAGCCAGAGTTCGAGACCCCCCGCACCAGTACGAGATGGTCCGCAGGGATATCATTTTGAGGGCCAGCCAGACAGTTCGCGGCTCCCCGGAGTCGTACCGTACGGTGAGCATGGATATTATTATCCTGGCCAGGAGGCAGTTCGATGCCCCCGACACCAGGACCGTACGATCAGAGGCCGGGATATTCTTTTCTCCGCCACGCAGGGAAGTCGCGGGGATATTCTTTTCCCCGCCACGCAGGGAAGTTGATACCCCGCGCACACGCACTATTACCTTACGGTCAGCAGGGATATCCTGATGAGTCGTACGGCGAGAGGGAGCAGGGTTCAGAGGAGTCTGACGAGGACAACTCTTCACATGATTAGGACCACGCGCACCACCCCCAAAGGGAGCTCCCACCACAGCATTTTGCACGACCCGCACAGCCTACGGGTCCTAGCCAATCTGTCCCTCCTGTATAGTATGTTCGTCCTGTACAGGCTGTTCGTCATGTACAGGTTGTTCGTCCTACACAGGCTGCTCGTCAACGACAGGCTGGGGGGCGTTTTGGTAGCGGTGCATCCTCATCATGTAACAATTTACGTTTTTATTGTTGTTTAACATTAAATATTTTGACTTAATAATAATAAATTATCGGTACTGTTAGAAAGTACTATCGGTCAGTTCCTCAACTACAATATAATTATTTTGTAATTTAGACGGACCATACAATTAATTAGTTAGAAAATTATTATAATTATTTTTATTATTGTTATAATCAATTAGTAGTAATATTACATAATAAATTAGTTTAAATTGTCATTATATTTTAGTAATATAAAATGTAACGTTTCTACATTAATTGAAAAAAAATAGCGGGAAATTTATGAAATATGTTTTATTAAATATGTTTTATTTAATGAATCTGCCAGCAAGTGTATATATACAGATATGTTCTATTGTAATGCAGGTACTAGCAAACGAGCTAGGACCGATGATGATGCACCCTGGATCGTTAAAGGTCCAGTGGCTGGTGGGCCCATCGATGGGATTGTCATCCCTAGCTTTCTAGGGCACGTCGCCTCCCGCATGCGGACTGGAGAGTTAGGGGCATGCTGAAATGCCAGAACAGACTGAGAGCGGTCGAAAATCTGAAGAGTTGGCGTGATGAGATGCCTCCCGATGCAAAAGCTCTGATCGGAGACACCAGGCTGTCACATCTGGTGGACTCCATGCAAAGCCACTTGGACACTCCACTGCTTTCTGCGTTTGTGGAGCGATGGCAGCCGGATACTAACTCGGTTCACTTGCCCTTTGGTGAAATGAGCATCACGCTGCATGACGTTCAGGCCATTTTGGGCGTTCCTGTGGAGGGAGCCGTGGTCGTTGAGGACCCAGATTCAGACACCTGCCATGGGCTCTGAATGATGATCCTTTCGGTCACCAAGGCTGAACTCATGAGTTCGTTCTGGCAGCATAGTTCGGTGACTGAAGCCTCCATTGTGGAGGCATTCAGGGGGAAAGGCCGACCGGC